GGGAGAAGGTCTCAGCACCGCCTGTGCTGGCTGGTGAGTAAGACGGCACAGGGAGGCCTGTGCATACCTGGGGCCAGCAGGCCAGGCTCATCCTTGAGCAACCTGGGGACATGGTGCCCACCATGGGCAGAGACGTAGGGGCATTGGGCACCCTGGCCTGCCCACCCAGCCGCCTGGATAGGGCCAGGCAGAGCAGTCCCTCCCCCACTTCTGGGGGGGGGCACTTGGGCTGGGGCTGCAGCCCTGGGGTCCATATTAATTTCAGCTCCATTTTAAAAGTGAGTTAAAATAAACACGGGGAGTATTTATAAGGCAAATAAATCTGGCAGAAACAGCCCCTCCAAGTGTGAGTGGAGGCCTCCCCCTCAGCCCCAGCCCAAGCTGATAAAATACAGAAATGCTACTGTAGACCCTGCGGGCTTATTTTGACTGCAGCGGAGGAATGTAACATGTAAACACCGACTCCCATATTACACTGTTACAACTTGCATTAACAGCACCGGACAAAAGCCGCATTTTCACAGAAGCATCGTACGGGGATATATCTCCAGCTTAATTTTTAAAAAAACCATTTCCTCACATAAATCATGCTCAGAACGAAACGGGTGACTGATACATTGCAAATACTTTTTTTCTTAAACAATAACATACCTAGATTCCTTCTAAACGAAAGAACTTAAAAAAAAAAATCTCCTATATGTTTTTTTTCTGAAGAAAATAAACAGTGCAGTTTCTTTCCGGACCGAAATATCTGGGGCCATGTCTTTGCAGCAGAGCCGGCCGTCCCTAGCCCAGGGTCTGGAGGAGGCGTCCCCAAGCCCGCACCGGTGCCTAAGATGCCCGGACACCACAACCACAGGCCTCCCTTCTCTGCCCCAAGCGGGCAGCCTTTGATAGGAAACACGAATAGCCAGGGCTCAGGAGAACGCTGGCCCCTGATAACTGGCACTTCTAGAAGCAAGAAGCACACATAGGGAGCTCAGCCAGGACAGAGGTGCCAGCACACTTAAAGTCAGAGAACTAAGGAAAAGCTGGAGAGCGTAGCCAGATTCCACTAACAGAAGCCCACGTGGAAAAAAACCAAGCCAGGGGCCAGAGTTCAAGGCAGGACTCAGGACCCCAAGCAGTGAGGATGGTGCTTTGAGATGGGTTCAGGGGCTCAGCCCTCCTCCACCCAAGAATGCAAAAGAAAATCCCATCTGTGGAAACCCCAAAGGGAGGAGCTTTAAAAAAAAAAAAAAGTCCTGGGGGTGGGGCAGGCTCTCCTGAGCATGCAATAAATCTAAAAGCCGTGAAGTGTGAAAGAGATTTAAGTTACATTAAAAAAAAAATTATTACATCATTTGTACATTGCACAAGTTAAAAGACGTGAGAAGCTGACAAGTCGGCACCACCAGCAACTGGGGATCACACCTGAGTGTGCAAACCAGCTGGGAGATAAGAAAAAGATAAGAAAGGAAAAAACAAAACACTGGGCCAAGGACCGTGCTGACGCCTCACACACAAGCACACAGACACACTCATCTTCAAATAAGGCAGGGGAGTCCATGAAAGGAGGACAGGTCACAGCAGGCACAAATAGGGTCGGATGGCGTGTGACTAGCAGATAGTCAAAGATAAAAAAACAAAACAAGAGAACACAGAAATGATGGCATAACAGGAAAAAGCGATCAACGTGACAACATAAAAATGTAAAACGTCTGCGTGAAATACTGCAAACAGACCAACGTAAACCACGCCCGGGAGCCCTGTAAGAGGCCTGGGCAGTCGGGCTCAGTCTGGCCTGAGGTCAGTGCCATCTCAACACAGACTAGGACCTGCTGTAGGTGGCAGTGACTGCCACTCGACTCACGGGAACAGGAGGATAGGCTCCTGTTTTGTGACTTAACAAAAAGCTGATGCCAGAGTTGGGGGGGGGGCACAGCCAGACGCATGCACAGAACAGGGTGTGGCTATCAGACCACCTCACACCCATCAGGAGGGTCCCCACCAAAAAACCAGAGAGCAACTCAGACACGAACTGGAACCCTTACATACTGCTGGCAGGAATGGAAAATGGTGGAAACCAGTGTGGTGTTTCCTCAGAACACTGAATACAGAATTATCCATGCTTTAGCAATTCTACTTCTGGGTGGGTATACACTCCAAAGAATTGAAAGTGGGGTCTCAAAGACGTATCTGCACACCCATGTTCACAGCAGCACTATTCACAATAGCTGAGAGACAGCTTTACCCCAAGTGTCCACTGATGGATGAACAAATCTTAAAAATGTGGTCTATCCAAACAATAGAATATCACTCAGCCTTAGAAGGAAACTCTGACACCTTTGATAACGTGGAGGGACTGTGAGAATGTCACACTAAGCAAAATAAGCCAGTCACTGTACGGTCCCACTTATGTGAGTCAGCAAATTCAGAGACGAGAAGTAGGATGGTGGTTGCCAGGATGAGGGAGGAGGTGGTGGGTAGTTAGTGCCCATAGGGTACAGAGTTTCAGGGTTTTTTTTTTGTTTGAGACAGTCTCACTATGTCACCCTTACTATGTTATCAGTGGAATACCACACATCATTTGCGCTCACAGCAACCTCAAACTCTTGGGCTTAAGCAATTCTCTTGCCTCAGCCTCCCAAGTACCTGGTACTACAGGCACCCACCACAATGCCTGGCTATTTTTTTTGCTGCAGTCATCACTGTTGTTTTTAGCTGGCCCAGGCTGGGTTTGAACCCACCCGCCTTGGTGTATATGGCTTGCGCCATAACCACTGTGCTATGGGCACCATGCCCAGAGTTTCAGTTTTGCAAGATAAAGAATTCTGGAGGTGGGCTCGGCGCCTGTGGCTCGAGTGGCTAAGGCGCCAGCCACATACACCTAAGATGGTGGGTTCGAATTCAGCCCGGGCCTGCCAAGCAACAATGATGGCTGCAACCAAAAAATAGCCAGGTGTTGTGGCAGGCGCCTGTGGTCCCTGCTGCTTGGGAGGCGGAGGCATGAGACTTGCTTGAGCCCAGGAGTTGGAGGTTGCTGTGAGCTGTGATGCCATAGCACTCTACCCAGGGGGATAGCTTGAGGCTCTGTCTCAAAACAAAAAAAAAAGAATTCTGGAGGTGAAAGACGGTTGGTGATGGTTAGTGAACAGTATAATGAATACCACTGAATCATATGCTTAAAAAAGGTTAAATTGGTGGCCAGGCGCTGTGGCTCATGCCTCTAATACCAGCATTCCGGGAGGCAGATTACTTGAGCTCAGGAGTAGGACGGAGACCAGCCTGAGCAAGAGTGAGACCCCATCTCTACTAAAAATAGAAAAACTAGGGCAGCGCTAGTGACTCAGTGAATAGGGCACCAGCTCCATATACCGAGGGTGGTGGGTTCAAACCCCGCCCTGGCCAAACTGCAACAAAAAAATAGCTGGGCCTTGTGGTGGGCACCTATAGTCCCAGCTACTCGGGAGGCTGAGGCAAGAGAATCACCTAAGCCCAAGAGCTGGAGGTTGCTATGAGCTGTGACGCCACAGCACTCTACCGAGGGTGATAAAGTAAGACTCTGTCTCTTAAAAAAAAAAAAAAAAAACAATAAAAAAAATAGAAAAACTAGCTGGGTGTTGTGGCAGGCACCTGAGTAGTCTCAGCTACTCAGAAGGCTGAGGCAAGAGGATCACTTGAACCCAGGAGTTTAAGGGTGCAGTGAGCTATGATGCCATGGCACTCTACCCAAAGCAACAGAGTATGACTCTGTCTTGAAAACAAACAGTTAAACTGGTAAATTTTATGTGTGTACAACAATTGGGAGAAAGTGTAAGCAGCAACTGTGATGGTATGGAGATGAACGTCAAAGGTTTCCCCATTGTGGCATTTATAATGACCAAAGAGAGAAACTAGGGAAATGCTCGCTAAAGGGAGAAGAGTGAAAGGCACCATGCCATGTCCATTTGAGAAGGTCCCAGACACAGACATCCTGTGACGTGTAGAACATTGACCTCAGAGCATGAGACACGTGCACTCACACCTGCGTGCACGCCACTCACCTGCATACACACACCTGCATGCACGCCACTCACCTGCACACACACCTGAGTGCACATGCACATACCTGGGTGCATGCCACTCACACCTGCATGCACACACACACACCGCCCCCCTCTGGTGTTTTCTTCTGGAGAAGCCCTAGGCACCAAGCACAGCTCTCGCCCAAGCCTCTGCTGCCCTCTGGTGGCCCCTCTGGTCCCTGCCAGCCTGGAGTCCACTGGACCAGACTGAACAGGGAAGACCCCGGTGCCTCTGCTCCGGCTGGGCAGTGAGAGCCTTCCGCCTGTCTCCTTCAACCAGGCAGTGGTTTCTGCAGCCTACTCCATTTCAGGAAAGCCCACTCCACAAACTAGATGACAGTGGGGACGCAAGGGAGGCTGAGGGATGGATCAAGGGTTCTCCCCCATAGCACCCGCTGGACCCTCAGGGCTCCTGGAAACAGCTGGCTCCTTTTCTATGATGGTCATTGCTATCACTTTTTTTTTCTTTTTTTTTTTTTTTTTTGAGAAA